GAAAAAGGAGCAGGATTGTGAGGGATTTGGGAGAGAGGCGGGGGGGGGGGGGAGGGGGGCGTGATGGAAAAGCCTGTCTGTCCAATGATTCTCCTGGCACTCTGGGCCTGGGGGGTTTCTCCCTTAGGGGCAGAGCAGACCAGACACTGAGCTGCAGTGGGGGAACTTGGGGGGGCTGCCCGCTAAGCGGCAAAGCAGCTGCCTTGACCAGGAATGGGTCTCCCTCTTCCACTGTGCAAGAAGAGAGGGCTTTGGCCTGGGCGCCTTCCCGAGGAAAGCCGGCTGCATCTTCTGGCGTCACCCCCAAAGCCATCCTAGGCAGCTCTGGCCCACCAAAGGCAGTTGCGAGATTTCTTTCCAGTCCCATCTCCGTCTTCCAGCATGGTGAAACCTTTATCCCACGAGGCCCCTTTCCTGCCCCGGCCTCACCTTCGCCAGAGAACCCGGGCGAGGCGAGGCCATCGCCCCCTTGCCTTCCTTTCCTCCGCGAGGGAGGCCAGCTGGGCAGCGCCAGGTCTTGGGTGAATGGCACTGCTGCCCTCCCTCTGGAGTTCACTTACTCAGAATGAGCAGGATCCCGAGCGTGAAGAAAACCACGGCAAAGGTCAGGCCACCGATCCGCAGGGTCTGGTAGTCTGGTGGGGGGATGGGGGAGACCAAAGGGAAGTGGTGTTGCAGTTCCAAAGAGACTGCAACACTCAGAGATATCTGAGCAGCTCACATAAAGGTGTCTGGGGCTCACCATAGTTGAAGGGATCCTTTTCTTTCTCTTGATCAGTCGCTGGAAAGAGCAAACAGAACGCCCATAAACATGGCAGCTCTGGGGGCAGCAGAGGAGATGGGAGCCAAGTCTTGCTTCTCTGCATGTGCAGAGCGCACCTGCAGTGCAGCCAGAGCGAGCTGGATCCTGGACCTTACCCCTACTGCTCTGGCCCTCTCGCATGCAAGGAAGCCACCGAAACCTAGTCCTCCCAGCCCCACTGTTTGCCGCAAGGGTAGCCTGAGGCAGGGGACGTCCAGGACAGATAAAGGAAGAGGCCCCTCGCACTCCGAGCTGTACCTACCATCTGCCAAGATCACTGGAACCAGGAAAGAGCAGAAGAGAAGCAGCCTCCCGTCCATCCTGGCGGTGCTGCAGAGGACAGAGAGAGAAGGCATCAGACGGCCTGGGGACCTGCTTCGTGGGTCTGGATTGCACCCAGACCCAGGTGAGGTCTGGTGGGGGCTCTATGGGAGAACTCTGGCTATGGTTCCTGGGCTCATAATGCCAGGTGGACTTTCCAAAACCTCACAATCCAGGCTGCATTTTGCAAGCGGTGACCGTGTTTCTAATAGTCTGCAGCTTGCAGAACTGTGACGTCCTGTCCACACAACTCATTTCTGTTCAGTCTTCTCTTGCGCAGAAACCAGCCCTGGCTGGATCGTGACAAGTGCACTGGCCTGCAGCTCAGGCAGAAGGAAAGACTCTCTTGTCACCTGTTGGCCAGGCTCTTTGGAGGAGTCCCAGATGCCAGGCAGAGCACCCGGGTTTCTTCTCTTGCCGTTCACATGGGTCAGATACTGCAGGAAACCAGAACTTCTCACCCACAGGCCACCATTCCTCACTCTGCCTCAACCAACAAGCGAGTAGAAGTCTGCTGGCTCAGCAAGGCAGGGAGCCAAACCTGACCCAATACCCTTCAGAAGAGATCCCTGCACACGGAGAGGCGTGCTCCAGATGGCACCTCTCTCCAGACACCCACAACGCTTCCACGGCACCGTCTCAGCCCAGCAAGAAGCAGATTCTGCTCTTCCAGTTGCCTTGGCCAGCCCCGGTGCCCCCCTCCCTCCCCTCCCACTGGGTCCCCATCCAAAGTACAGTGCACAGCCCAGCCCAGCCCAGCAGCTTCAGCAGCTGCACGGCAACAGAGGAAGGGGAAGACACAAGGGCCCTTTGTATGCTGCAACAAAGCCTCCCCAAACTGCACTCAGCCCAAAGGCAAGTGTTGCCAACCACACTCCTCCTCCTCCTCCTCCTCCTCCACTCAGATCCCTCCCCCCCCACACACACACACATGGGGACTGCCTGGAAAGTCTGTGGCTGCTTCTGTCCTTGGCCTTCAGCAAAAGTTCTTGGTGTAATGGTCCTGAACAGGCAATAGCTCTCGGGTGCATTCCATGGGGGGGTGGGGGGGGACCCAACCACAACATTCAATTGCCTCAGGTACTCATCTGACCCATTCTTCCATATTACCAGGCCTCTGCAACACAAGAGTTGGCAGCTAATGCAACATTTTCCATATATATCGCTTCACTAAGATTGGCTGTGTAATGAAAGCTCCCTTCTCTAGGGCCCCAGAGCAGGGAGCGCTTGGCCCAGGTTGCCTGGGCCCTCACTCCCCCCTTCGGCCCTGCCTTGAGCCCCATCTCCACCACAGGGATTCTTGGCCAAGCCATGGAAGAGAAACCCTCTCCACCCTGAAGGACAATGGGTAGGGGGCACTAGCCCTTTCAGCCTCAGCAGCCACGCTTCAAAATAGCCCACTGGCTTTCCAGAACAGGTTCTGGCATAATGCAGAGTCCTACCAAACTGAGGGTTCCAGCAAAGATAGTCAGGCTTCCTCCGCATCCCAAGACAGCAATGGCACAGCCAAAACCTACAACACAGCATCTGGATGAGAGCAAGGCTCACCTGACCCAGTATCTTGTTCCTACCAGAGTCTGGAAGGTGACCAACAGAAAGCTTGTAGGAACAGTAGCCATCCTGGTAGCCTTGTCTCTCATGGAGCTCTCTAACCCCTTTCTAACGTCACTCTCTTTTAACAAGGAATTCCATGGGTCAGCCACGCTCTGTGTGAAGCAGCCCTGTTACTTGTCTTGACTCCACCACTGCTAATCTATAGTCTGGGGGACCACGAGGCAGAGGACCTCTCCTAGAGAGGTATCACCTGCGGTGGGGCGTCTGATGGCCGAGGGAGCCATGAGATCAAGTCAGGCATTGAAAGCCCATCTGGAAATGTCATGGGAGTCAGGGGCAAAATCCTTGTCCAGAAAAGATATCAGAACTTGTTTTCCTCCTGAAGCAGGAACCGGTAGAGCTATAGGACAACTTCACTTCCTCCCAGTGCTGCCGTTATTCTCCCAGAAACCTTGACGGAATCATAGCTGGAGGTCAGCTAGGCAACCCGTGTTGGAAGCTGAGGAGGAAACAGGAAGCTCTGCATTATGGCACCATTTGCAGCAGAAAAGGAGGAGTTCCAACACTCAGGTGCTGTACTACCTGTCCATGGAGTGGGCTTCTAAGCAATAAAACTGAATACTTGCGGAATCAGGACAGACAAGAAGAAACATTTTTTTACACAACACATAATTAAATTTTGGAATTTGCTACTATGAGATGTTGAACTGATTCATAAAAGTCCTTGGGATCAGTGGGTATTCCCCAGTCAAGAGTTGAGGTCCACCCATCTTAAAGTTGCCAAGGTTGAGAAACACTGCTCTAGGCTAATACTCACTAGAAGGCCTCACTGGGCAGCTGATTCGCCATTGGGAGAACAGGTTGCTGGACTAGATAGGCCAGGGGTCTGATCCAGGAGGGCCCAGCTTATGTTCATCTCAGCCTCTAAATGGCTCCCAGCAAGTATGAACGGCTCAGTGGCAACAGAACATTTGTGGACCTTTTACTATTTGCAATCCTTCAGCACTGTGACCCTACAAGGTGATCAGAGCTTCATCAATGTCTTATCAAAGGTAGTCCTTGCCTAACAACCCTAATGGGACCAGCAACTCCACCACTAAGTGAAGCAGTTGTTAAGGGGGAAACCACCTGACTGGGACCCTGCTTTCCGGCTGGAAAGACTAGTCAGTTTCACAGCTTCCCTTCTGTTTGCCTCCTAACCACTCCCCCCGCTTTGGAATGCTCCAGTGCCTGCTTACTGACTTTACACACTGAAAGCAGTCCGATCGTGCTGGGAGCCCAGGGCTGGGAGCCAAAGGCACATTACGCAAACAGCTTACTCTCTTGTAATCCCTTCCTCTCCAATCTGTCTGCTCTGCAAGGAGGGAAAAAAGAAAAAGCCACAGGTCAGGCACAGGACAATGCATACTGACTGTAATGGCAATCACATGACTGAGGGATGCTGCAAGGTTGTAAATCGGCCATAAAGTTATTTTTTCAGCACCGTCATAACTTCGAACAGTCACTGAATGAGTGGTCAGTAAGCAAGGACTACCTGTAATAGATAAGCAGTTTCTGGTTAAACAAACAGCACTCAAAACAGTGTACTGTGTCATGTCCTTATTGAACACTAAGCCAACATTCATAGTCTTTGCTGGAAAAAGTATATGAAGCCCTAAGATAATCCACTCTTCTATGGCGGTAAATTGGGTTAGAGATTCTACTCAGTGACACAGGTGTGAGTTTGAGGGGTCATCCCCTATAAAAATGCATGTATACACACACATTGTTTGTCACCATCAGAATCTGCGCTTCAAAACACAGATTTATGGAGATGAACCATGCCCTGATCAAAAGACATCTCTGCAGATCCCAGGAAAAGGGTTGGCAATGCTCCTAAGTCTAGAAAGGGCAACAAAATAATTTCTTTGGCCTTTATCAATTCATTGTCAGGCAAATAGTGGACAAACAGAGAAAATGCAGTACCAGGAATAGTCCCCCCCACACACAAAAAAATCACCTAAGAACAAAGTATACAATAATTCACTTGTATAGTGAAATGGGCGGCATATATAAATTTGAAAAATAAATAAATTCAGGAGGTTGCAAAGAACCCTAAGGTAACAGCAAAGTATTTGCAGGCCACTCTTGCACTGTCCAATATCACTGGTCATGAGTTCACCCTCAGGAAAATAATGAACAAGAATGGTGTGCACAGGAGGATGCCAGCACCAACCTCTGCTCTCTGGAAAGCACCCATCTCACGGTTAAGTCCACCCAGATCAGTGATGGAGACCCTTTTGCACTCGGTGTGTCATAAATTCGGAAAATGCCTAACTTGACTCTACTGACTTGTCACCCCCCCAACCAAAAGAGAAACAATTTTTTACATATTCATTTATTTAAAAAAAAAAGACAGTCCAATCATGTATGGTACTATGTATTACCTAAAGAAATGTCAAATAATTACAAAAATGAAATACGAGTAAAACAAACTCAGTTTCTTTGGTAACTCAAACAGGGAGAAGAGTTGTTGGGTGTTGGTGAACACTGGTGTGTCACCCAAAATGTCGAGGTGTGTCACCTATGACGCACCTGTCATGGGTTCGTCATCCCTGACCTAGATGATTCAGCAGGTTATTAGAACAATGTTCTGTGGACCAGAGAGTGGAACTTTTTTGCATTCATGAGAAATGCAATGTTAGGGAAAAATGAAACAATGCAATCCAGCAAGGAACCTCATCCCAACAGTGAAGTAACACAATGGGATACCCTTTGTGGTCTCTGGTCCTGGTTGGCTCACAGTCCCTGAGTAGACAATGGATTTGGGATTGCTCCAGGAAATTTTATAGGGCAATTTGGGGGTACCTGTCCATGAGCTGAAGTTTAAATAAATGTGGGGCATGCAGCATGACAATAAAGCTAAACACACAAGTAACTCTATAATGGAATGACTGAAGCAGAAGAAATTTGTTTTGAAATGGCCAAGTCAAAGCCCTGACCTTCACCTCAATAAGCGGTTGTCGCATGGCCTGAAGCAAACAGTTCATGCGAAACAATGAAGACATGACCATGGTACCGTTTTCCCTGTTGTTTGTTTAACTAGAATCTCTTTATTAGTAGGACTAGGATGAAGTTTTGATCACCTTGCAGAAACACAGGAGAAAGACGACATTTGATCATTTGAAGGTAAATTCAGCAACACAGTTAGAAGGTGCAAGTCCTCCAAAATCTATGCAGAAATGTTTGAGGAATTAGGAAACAAGATGAACATATGAAGAGATAAATGCAATTATATAGCTATCACAAAGACCTTGTGGGAGAAGATTCAAAACTGGAATCTTGTTGTTCAAGTGGAAGAAGCCCATCAGAAGGGAAGAGAGAAGTACTTCATATGTCAAAGATATGGGCACCTGCAAGGAAATCTACTCATCTCTGAGCAGAAACACTACCAATAAAGTTCAATTGTTCTGCGGCCCTTGGTTGCAGTAACAGAAGCTGGATGTCCAGATTACAGGAAGACACACTGACCAAGCTGCACCTGAAATCCAGTGCTGAATGGCTATTTTCAGGGCAGACCGGGGGATAGTGGGCTGGAAGCCTTCTGGAATATTTTGTCTAGAGAAGGTCAAGGGAAGACATGGTAGCCACATGCAAGTATCTGAAAGACTCCCTTGCAGAAGGTGGGGCAGAGTTGTCTCTAGCGCAGCAGCAGGCAGGACAGTCTCCAAAGGGTGAAACTGCAGGAGGGGAGGCAGATAGTGGACCTTCCTAGTGGCGTTACAGAAGGAGAGCTATGTTAGTGGTGGCAAAAAAAATAGGAGTGCGATAGCACCTTTTCCAAATAACACATTTTATTAAAAGACATCAGCTTTCATGAGCTGCAACTCACTTCGTCAGAGCCACAGAGTGGCTAGAAGGATGTATGATTGGGAGTTCTTCTTCATTAAAGGTGTTTAAGCAGACAGTAGATGGCCACCTCTCCAAGGTCTTTCCAACTCCAGGCAAACTATGGTCTCATAAAGGAGACTAGGTCAAGCAGGGTATTGCAGAAAATCTTCAGGAAAAGGAGTCCACTTTACTAGGCACACTTATGGACATATATACATCGTACACATGGAACAGCCTGAGATCCTATGCCTAACGTG